TTGAAGTGAACCCCTCATTGTCTCTCTTTTTGGAACAACCCGTTCCAATTTTGGGTTTTAGGCCCTTTTTGTAAATTCGAACGACCCATTCCAGTTTTGGAACAGCCCGTTCCGGGCTTCTAAAATCAGCTTGTTTGGGCTTTTGGGCCCTCTAAAGTGCTGTCCCGTTGTTTGCATGCCCCCGGATGAAATTGGGTATCTATAGTAACCAAAATGAATTAACTAATTATGTTTCTCCAATTTCCTTCAACAATCCACTCATTACTCGAGTCATACCTAGTTTCACACGTCAACCACTCCCTATGTTTAATACCCTCATGCCCCCAGGTATAGGGGGAACTGTTGTGTGCAAAGGTTTGTGTATAATTTTTATTCAAACAAATGCATAATTTAAACAGGCAAATAGATATTAAAGCCAAACAAATAAAACAAACAAAGTAAAGGGGAAAAATATTTAAATTATAATTCTTATTTTATTAACTTCATCATTGATATGGGCCTGACCCTCTTAAAACATCCCCAGCAGAGTCGCCATCTGTCGCAACCCAAAAATTTTCGATCTCGCGACCTATGGTTTAGACATCCTTTTAAAGATCTCATCAATTAAAGAATGCCCGAACACCAGACTAATCCTTAATCAATGGTTTTGAAAATAGGTTCATGGAGTCGCCACCAATATTTTACTCAAAACATTGGAAAAAGAAAAGGTTTTTTTAAGGTCGAGTAAATGGCCTTGATACCCAGAATTGGATTCGGGGGTCGATTGCGAGTAGAGAAGGTATTAAGCACCCCTACAACGCCTTAAATCGGTACCCTATGATGAAGATAACGTAATAAGAATTAATAGTTTAAATATTTAATCCCCTTTTATTAGTGACTATTTACATGCTTGAAATTTAAATTAAACAATTAACTCTAAAATATCTACATGATTTCTTTTATTATAACAATATTTATCAAAAATAAAAAAATAAAAGAGAGAGAAGAAGATTGATTGAAATACCTCGTAGCAAGCTTTGTTAAATCTTCCAATATGGAAATTATAGGTGCTTTGTGGCAACCTTTCACACTACACAAATGCCTCACAAATCTCAAGAAATACAATAAGAGAGAGAGAGAGAGAAATTTCGAGCTCTAAGGAGTCTTGGACGAAATTTTTGAGGTCCGGAGAAATGAGCCCAAGCTGCCTATTTATAGCCTTCAAAAGGGGTCCAGAAAGGCCCGTTCCAAAATCGGAACGGCCCGTTCTGAATCTGGCCGTTATGTGTTAATTTAGTGTATTGGAACGGCTCGTTCCGAAATCGGAACGGCCCGTTCCAGAGGCACGTTTAACACATAATTTCCATTCTGGAACGGCCCGTTCCAAATTTAAGAATTCAAGCCTTTTTTGTTACTTGGAGTGGCCGTTCCAATTTGGGAATGGCCCGTTCCGAATGTAGCTTTTATCCTTTTTAAAGAGCCTGGAATGGCCCGTTCCAATTTTGGAACGCCGCGTTCCAATTTTGGAACAACCCGTTCCAATTTTGGGTTTTAGGCCCTTTTTGTAAATTCGAACGACCCATTCCAGTTTTGGAACAGCCCGTTCCGGGCTTCTAAAATCAGCTTGTTTGGGCTTTTGGGCCCTCTAAAGTGCTGTCCCGTTGTTTGCATGCCCCCGGATGAAATTGGGTATCTATAGTAACCAAATATCACAATTACAGGAGAAAAATATATTCTTCACAAATTTACGAAAAAAATTCTTTATAAGATCAATAATTCGCAATTTGTGACGGATTTTATTTATCACTGATGGATCACTGATGGATTTCATTCATCATAGTAGTTTGTGACGGATTTCGCAGTTTGTGACGGATTTTATTCATCGCAAATTGTGAGGCATTCTAGTCATCACAATTTGTGACAGATTTTATTCATCCCAGTTTGTGACGGATTTTAGTCATCACAGTTTGTGACGAATTCTAGTCATCACATTTTGTGACGGATTTTATTCATTGCAAATTGTGATAGATTCTATTCATCACAATTTGTGAGGGATTCTATTCATCACAATTTGTGACGGATTTTATTCATCATCACAATTTGTGACGAACACACATACCTCTCAATCCCTCACAAATTTGTGACGGAGATAGTGCCTCACAAATTGCGATGGATTTAATCCCTCACAAATTGCGACGGAGTTAGAGGCCGTCACAAATAGCGACGGATTTTTATTAATTTATAAACATTTATTGTTAGAAATTAGTGATGGAAAATATATTATTTGTGATGCCTTAATTCCGTCACTAATTGTGACGGATTGAAATTATCCGTCACTAAATATTTTGTGACGCCAATTTTTGTGACGGAATCAGTTCTGTCACAAATTTCGTCACTAATTTATTTGTGACGGATTTTATAAAGTTTAGTGACGGATTTGTTCCCTCTCTAATTTTAATTTTTCTAGTAGTGAGTATACGGGTAATTAAACACTTATAATTTCATGAATCAACAAAACACTAATTGATAGGTTAGATACCGACATGTATAATAATAAAGGTAAACTTGCTCATGACTTTAATTACCAAAATCGACAATGTAGTAAAACTTGAGTTGGGTGAAGGCTTCCTCGCATTCCTCCATCCACGTAAATTTTTTATTATACTCAAGCATTGAGAGAAGGGAAAAGCTTCATCTCCTACTCTGGATAAGAAATGAGACTGATGTTATCCACCCTGTTAACTTTTGCACCTTCTTCACATTCCCCGGACTTTGCATGTTGATAATGGTTGAACATTTATCTAGGTTGGCCTCAAAGCCTTGGTGTGTTAGCATAAACCCTAAAAATTTTCCAAAACATACCCCGAACGAGCATTTTTCTGTGTTTAACTTTAGTTGGTAGCAACTCAAAGTATTGAAAAACTCTAACAGGTCAATATGGTGAGAGCCATAGATATCCAACTTTATCACCATATCATCCATGTATGCTTCCACATTTCTACCCAAGTGACCAACTAACACCTTATTCATTAATCTTTGGTATGTTGTCTCGAAGTTCTTCAATCCACCAAAAGACATTATTTTATAGTAAAACTCATCTTAGTCGGTCATGATCTCTTAAATATTAAATTAATAACAATTTTTTTTTATCCAAAATACATAAATTTTAATAATAATAGAAATTTTTTTGTTCCTATTATATTATATTATATTATATATATATATATATATATATATATATATATGTCTCTTAAGAGTCGTATAAAGTTAATTAAAATGGATTTATAATAAATAATGTGAATGTAGTATTTTAATTTGTATATTACCCAT